TATATATATATATATATATATATATATATATATATATATATATATATAAAAGAACTAATAATGATTCATGTTAATTTTCTAGAATGTTTCTTTTATACGTGACACTTTCTAAAATATCTATCATTTTTTTCCTGTAACAAATCAACTTTTATTCAAAATTCGAAAATAAAAAATTTTATCCTAATAACAATTAATCAATTACCAATTCACGGTTTGTTTTTTTTTTTTTTTTAATTTATGACATTTTCAAGCATGACTGTTTAACATAAATTGTAACGTCCTAAACTCCAGAATAAAATTTTTATTTTTAAAATAGAATAAATACCCATTTTTAAGAAAATTACATACATGTCAAACCATTTGTTCATAAACCATTATTCAAAAATCAGAGTTATAAAGAAGACATTGCGGAATCTCGAATCATATATCAACCCACATGCACATAACATACAAGCATACCAACAAGATTCACGAAGACAACATGCAAAAAACGTCACCTAGTGTCTTATAGTATAGTGAGAAAACTCACTTGAATGAAGAGCTAAAATCCACTACTTAGATTCCCACAGAATCAGCTACACGAACCTCCTAAACCAAACACAAGATAAATCTTAGAATATAGCTCAACACCCTCTCCAAAATTGGCCAAAAGTCAAACTTGTCAAAAAGTCAACGATCAAAGTCAACTCATGTGACCTTCACTTCGTGGCAATTCCTCTGCCATGTTGTGGTCATGTTTAGACAAAACATACGCGTTTCAACATGCCACCACGTAGTGAACCTTCCGTGGCCACGTCGTGGTTTTGGTCAGAAAGATTTTTCTTCATTAAGAGCATAATCCTTATGGACCCAAAACTCATATCATCAGATTTGGTTCGTAATAGCTTCATAATGGAGAAAATTTCCAACTTTATCCATTAGGATGGTCCAAACAACCAAGATCTAGTATTTAAGTCTCAAAGGGACCAAGAATGCATCTTTCTCAACTTAATCCATTAAGTCCAAGTCTCCAACCTTCAGATCTGAATCAACATGATATTTAGATGGATAAAGTTTCCAACTTTATCCATAATAATGTCTCAAACAGTCAAGATCTAAACTTTAATACACAAAAATGACCTAAATGACCAAGATAACTTGCATGGCTGAAAGGGAAGGCAAAAGATCATAACTTTCCTAGTCCATGAGATCCAAGAAGCATTCTAAAATGATCAAAAGGTGTTAGAGTCCAATCAACTCCAGATCACCCATAAAATGGACCAAAAGTGCCAAAAACCACAAAATGAAGAGATCTAAAGAACTAAAAAGCAAGATATGAACTTTATACTCATAATAGTCCATAAATGGGGTGAGTTTGATGGATCAAAGTTTAAACAACATTCCTTGCAACCAAAAGAACCTTCTTAATCTTTAAGCTTCATCAAAATACCACCAAAAACATCCAAAAGATGAGAGATGAGAGGGGAGGAGCTCAAAGGGCGGCCAAGGTTGCTCTTAAGGAGTTTTAGGAGTGATGGAGGCTAAGAAAATACCATAAAACATGAATCCTTACCTTTATATACCTTGATCCTAAAAAATCATGGGCTTGGGATGCACAGTTTTCTCCTCGTGACAGCCTGCTTGTCACCTCGTGATGACTCATCACGTCATGACAACATGCTGACGATGGGTTTTCACCCAATTCCACTCCAACTTCAACCAATCATAACTTCTTCGTTTCAACTCTGTTTTCGGCGATCTTTATATGCATGCGAAGGTATTGACAAACCCCACAATCTTATTTAATTACTTTTGAATTTATACTTGTACAAATAAAACCATAATCCATGCAAGGAGCATAAAATATTGTTTTTCCCGTTTTACCCTTTTGCTTCAATGCACAATTCGAGGGCTTTAATCACTTAACCTACATTATCAACATCCGATAGAGTCTAAACTCTATTTCCTTGAAGCCCAATGTCTTTACATGATCGAATTACGGTCTACAACCCCGAAATAAGAAACATCCTGAAATTGGATGTTACATAAAAATTGAAATTTGTTCATTTTTTCGCGAATATAGAAAATTGGTAATTCAGATATTTGGTGTTTTATTTTTGTTTTAGACATTTTTTTTCTATAGGTTTTGTCAACTATTTTTACTATCACATCGTTGTACTTTTTCTAATTACAACTTTGTACTATCACAACATTGTAGTTGAAACATCCAAAAATTTTACTGCCAAATTTAAACTTTTCAACCATAAATAAAAGTCAAATAGTATTGTTTACAAAAATGTTTTCAAATC